TTGATTTATATAAATTTTTCTTTTTTGACTTCTTTCATCATCCTACATGAACAGAGTTTCATCAAGATAATCTCTTTCAATACGAATTTAATCATGAGAAGAGAGTAACCGAAGATAAAGATCTTTTGATAAAGGATGAATGAAATGAATGAGAAAAGAATAGGGAGGCAAGGAATTGATGAGAGTTGAGAATGGAGAAATCGTGTTAGTTCAGTGTTGTAGGTCACCATAGAGATCTTGAACATTTTTCAGAATCTAAAGTCAATTTTCATTCTTTTGGTCTTTTGAATATCTTTACAATCGAAGTCAATCTAAAAAACATCAACACGTTTCAATTGATCAAGCTCCTTGATAGTGAAGATCTCAAAGTTGATTGGTTCATGAGCCATTTCTCGGCCTTGGTGTGCATTGTGGAGTTGCATTGGCCTATGGCTGCTATCCGACCCGTCATTGACCCGAGATGCCACCGATACTTGAGATCGAAAGCAGAAAGACTGGAGAGTCAGAGGAGGCTGAGCTCAATGAACTCTTCAACTTCATTCTCCATCAAAGGATGAAGGAAGATGACAATACTCAAAACACCCATCAGATTCTTAAAAATCAATCCAATCGAATTAAACTTATCATTAACATTAAGATCAGGTCAAAGTTTTAATTGGAATTCATCTAGCTTTCAAACCATCGATCAAAGACAACATACAGAATGGTCAATTGTAAATCAAACTCGAACGATCATCTTAAGACAAGTTGGTAAGTTGAATTGATGATCAAGAAGACCCCAAAGATTAAATTAAATATTAATATGGATTTGATTATTGGATTTGATTTGATTTGGTTTGGTTTTTTAAAGAATTAGGAATTTATTATATTTCTTTATATCATTTCAATCAATTCGAAGATTATCAAATCGATTTAAATCAAAATACTACTTTAAAGTTTTTAAATGATTATTTTGTTTTAAACGTTTCACTTCAAAGACTTTATCAAGATTGGAGTAAGAAAGATTTGAATTTTAAATTGAAAACTTCCAATGGATTCTTTAATGGATTAAGAGTTTGTAAACAAGATCCATGGGAAACTTTAATAAGGTCAATAAACACATTCAAATCTCAATAAAATGAAGAAAAACCCATCATTCATCTCTAACTTGGTATCTTTTTCAATTTGATTTTTTTTAGTTTTATTTGTTCTTCAAATAATAATATACCTAGGATCACTTTAATGATTAAAAACCTATCCGAAAGCTTTGGTGATCTAATGCCATATCCAACTCCAGGTTTGACAATCTCAAATGAAGATGAAATCATTTCAATTCAATCTAAACCCACTTCAATTCATTCATTTCCAACTCCAATTCGATTATCCACTTCATGTGATGAATTAAGATTAAAACAATTAGGGTTCGGTTATCGATCCTCTTATATCATCAATTCCGTCAAATCCTTACTAGAAATCTCAACTTCTCAAAACATCAAACCAATAGATTATTTACATTCGCTTCAATCCCTTTCCTATTCAATAGCACATCAAACTCTAATCAATCAATTCTCAGGTGTAGGTCCAAAAGTATCAGATTGTATATGTTTATTCGGTTTAGGTTTTATAGAAACCGTACCAGTAGATGTTCATATTTATCAAATTGCCAAACGGGATTATCAATTCTTAAGTCAATCCACTTCAACCTCATCCAAATCAAAATCAATTCTCAAATCAGATTATGATCTCATCAAATCCAAGTTTATCGAACTTTGGGGTGATTTTGCAGGTTGGGCTCAACAGATCATCTTCTTTATTGATCTGAATCATTCTAATTTGATTCATCATCCTAAGAATATAAAAAGAAGTTTATCTAGTTTAAATCCGATCCAATCCAATCCAAATTCACTTTCAAATCCATCTAATTCATCCATCAAAAGATCATGTTCAGATTCGAAACTTGACTTAAACCTTCAAAGCTCATCATCTAAAAAAATCAAATCAGAATCAAAACAGAAAAGTTTAATTCAAGTTGAAAAGGATGATTTGAAGCTTGAGAGAGGTGAATTGAAAAAAGTTAAATTAGAAGCCAATCCTTCCATCAAACTTGAAAATGATCCATTTGATGTCAACCCATCCATTCCAATCTCCCCAAAAGTCAAACTTGAGAACCCTAATTCGATGAAATTCGAAACGAACGATCCAAATCGTTCATTGATTCCTAAACATAGTAGATTCACAAGATCTACAAGTCATCTATTTTAATGCTTCAATCCATCAACTGATCTATTTGTAAACTTTTCATCTTCACTTTATTTTCGAATTCTTTGTGATTAGGTTGCCCAAGATTGTGATTTGATCCTTTGTTTTTCAAACATCTTGTAAAAAATAATAATCCAATGCTGAAATTTAATCTTTCTTATCTCCACTTTCGCCTAAAAACATACCAAATCAATTTTCAAAAAAAAAGCTCTTTACTCTTTACTCTCTTCGAAAAGAAAAAATTCAAAATCCAAACCCACTCACATCTTTCGTTCTTCTTCAAACCTTTCTTTGACTAACTTCACCGTTTCTGAATCCCAAACCTCTTCTGGATCTTTCTGACCGATCAAGACTTCTTTTTCATGAAGTTCAGCTTCAGTTCGATCCATCACCACACAATTTTGCCAATTCAAATCGAATTTGAAATCCCATTTGATTAAAGTTAAAGTACTTGAGATCAAAAAGTTAGGTGAAACGATCGATTTGGCTCTATAAATCTCTTCAAAGATATATCCAATCTCTTCAATCGAGAATGGAATCCGATTCGATTCACTTAATCTTGTTTCTCTAGATAATAATTCATTGTATAATCTTTTGTATAGTTTCGTTCGATTTCTATTCAAGTTTAAAGTTTAAAGTATGAGTTTTTTTTTCATTTCGAAAATGAAGCATAGGAAAAGGTTTAATCAAGTGAATAAAAGGTTGAATGAAGTTTAAAAGAATGAGAAGGTAAACTTACTTGACTGGTAATGGATGAATTGGAAAACCAGATAATTGAGTTAAAACATAAGCAGCCATTGCTTGACCAAACTAAAGATAAGAAATTCGAAATTTTCAACGTGAAATTCAATCAAAATCAATCAAAATCAAAAAAACCTTTTTGATTTTTTACAAGATTTTTGAAATGTTTCGTAGAACCCACCCCAAAAAAAAGAAAGAGAAGAGAATTGAAAAGGAAAAGTGAAAAGATGGAAAAAGAAGAAGGAAAAAAACTGACCATTGCAGGAATTGGACCTAAGACAGGTAAGATTCTAACTCTAAAGTTAGATAAAGATGATAAATCTTTTACATTTCCTTTTTCGAATTCTTCTTCAGATAAAGGTAATAAAGTGACTTTTTCATTTGGCTTGAAAAAGAGAAAAATTCAAACGAAAGAAAAAAAAAAGAAAAACCACATCACATCACTGATTGATAATGAGCAAATGGAAAAAAAGTGAATGAAAAAAAAGGAGAATGAATTACTTTTTCAGTTGAGTAAATCACTGGAATCCCATCTACGATTCCCTTCATTCTTCTATTTAAAACATTCAAAACCAAAACCAATTTGATCAAAATTCAAAAAACGATCTTAAAAAAGTTTTTGATTAGAAAAAAAAAAGAATGAGATGAAGTGGTTTTGAAGATTAAAAAGAAAACTTACAATCTTCTACGAACTGATCTTGCTAATGGATCTTCAAAAGTTAAAGAAATATCACTAATTTGAATTCGAGAAGGATCAGCCTTAGAAGCAGCACCAAGTGAAGAAATCACCTAAAAAGAAAAAAAAAAGCAAAAAAAAGTGTGTGTTTGAACCCCCCCCCAAACCAAAAAAAATGGATTTTTCTCAAAATCAGTTTTTCAGGAACTCGAAGAAAAAAAGAACAAGAAAATCAATCCATAAGAGAAGAAAGAAGAAGAAATGAAGAAGAAGAAGAAAATGAAGAAGACTTCACTTTGATTTGATTTGATTTACAAAACGTTAATAAATCCAATTTAGTCGTAATATTATCAATGCAATCTAAAACCCAATCCACTCGATCTTCTCCTTCTGCTTCTTCATTCATTAATAATTCTTTTGCATTTTTCGAATTGAATTCTCGTATCTCAATCTCAATCTGAACCCAAGGTGAAATCTTTTTAAAATATTCTTCACAAACCTTCACTTTAAACTTTCCTACATCTTCTCTTGTAGCCACTGCATGTCTCTACATTTCAGCAAGAAAAAACCAAAATCAAAAAAGAGATCGATTTGATGATTTTGATTTTGATTTTGATTTTGATAGGATTAGAATCAAATCAAATGGGTTTATATTGAATTGACAACTTACATTAAGTGAAGAAAGTGAAACTAAATCAAAATCGATTAATTTAATCTTCCGAATCCCAGATCGAATTAAACTTAATCCAAGATGAGATCCAACTCCACCTAAACCGATTAAAATTAAATAAGAATTGCGGATGGATTGATTTCCTTCTTTTCCAAAAAAACTGGTATGTCGAATTAATTGTTCTGAAATTAATTTATCTTCTTCTTCTGATTCTTCTTTTGAATTTCTTGATTTTGATTTGTTTGAAGAAGAAGTTGAAGTTGATTTTTGATTTTGATTGGTTTGATTTTGATTTTTTAAGGATAGGTTAAAGTATTTAGAAATAATGAAATAAGTGATTAAACTTGAAAGACTTCCAATTCCAATCGATTTGATTAAACTCATCTCTTCTTTCTTCATCTTTTCCCTATCCTCTTTCTTTTTCTTTTTCTCTTTCTTCTTCTGTGATCTGCTTCGTCTTTTAGGTGATTGATAATCTTCTTTTGATTTTGGTATTCGATTAATCCATTTCCTCGTTGTTTTCTTTTGATTTGATTTGATTTGATTTGATTTGATTTGATTTTGAGCTTGTAAACTTGAAACTTGGTTTTCCATCAGTCATCTTCTAAACCTAATCCATTGTTTTCATTACTCTACCGCCCGTTCTGGAGCGATCACGCGGTCCGCCGATCACCTGTCTTAATAGCTCAGTTGGGAGAGCGTCAGACTGAAGTCATCGGTCAACAATCTGAAGGTCCAGTGTTCAAGCCACTGTTGGGACAATCTTTTGGACCTTCTTCACTCAAAACCAAGTGAATTTTGAAAAACTCAACCCTTAAGTTTTGAAAAAGTCAATTGGAACTATCTTGCTTTATCGAAATCATTCTCATTTAAAAAAAAAAAATCCAAAACCTCTTCAATCCCAACAAAGTTTTTTTTTCTTTTCTTGATAAACATTTCAAAACCAAAAAAAAAGAATCATTCAAAACCAATCTCTCTCTTTGGAATTTTTTTTAAATTTTTCATTCAATAAAATTCAAAAACCAAAGCCCCCGAATTTTTTTTTTAATTTTCGAAAAGAAAAAAAAAAGATGAAAAAAAAAAGAAATATGAAACAAAAAAGAAGAAAGAAGAAACCAAGTTGGGAAAAGAAAGGAAAATTTCAAAATCTCAAAATTGAATATATTTTCAATTCAATTCAATTCGATTTTTCGTTTTTGATCATCTTTTGAAAAAAAAAACTTAAATTTAACTCTAAGAGAGAGAAAAAAAGACTGAATGAATGAATGAAGTGAAGAGAAGAGTAGATCAGATCAGATTGAGATGAGATGAGCTTTGTGTGAAGGGATTCATTCAAGTGTATGAAACTCATTCGGATTAGGTTTAATCACTTCTTCTTTTCTTACTGAACTTGTTCCTTCAATTGGAATTGAGATTGAATTTGGGATTGAATTTGAATTTGAATTTGAATTTGATAAAGTAGACAATCGAGCAGAATGAGATCCGATCAAACTTTGACTTGATTGATTTAGTGTGACTGATGGTGATGAAGCAGAATTGAGTAAATTCTTTTGAGCGATTCGATTTTCTAATTTTTTTTGAGCTAATCTTAGATCATCATCTGATAAGTTTTGAGCATCTGAATCTAAATCAAACTCATGATAAGCTTCAGACTGAGTTTGAGTTTGAGTTTGAGTGGTGGTGGGATGAATGAGATGAGAGGATTGAGCTTGGTGTGAAACGGATGAAGGTCCTGGTCTTGAAAAAGGTTGATTCGAAATCGGATTTGATGAATGAAGTGATCCTATTGAATTCAATCCAATTACTTCACTTTCTTTAGAAATTCATGAATCAAATCTTTACATATCAAAGCCAAACAAACCTTTCGGATCACGTTGAAATCCACGAGACTGGTTAGGTGAAACTTGATGAGAAGATCGATTAGGTTGAGTAATAGAAGATGGTTGTGGTTGAAGAAAAGAACCAAACGGTTGAGCAAATCCATGGTTCGGATGAAGTTGAAGTTGATTTAAACAATTGATTAAAGTGATCGGTTTGATGATTAATCCGATCAAGATCAATAGGAAAGGTAAAGAAGAAATCGAATTGGACCAATTATACATCCAAATCAAATCTAATCCAAAACTCATCACTAATAAGATCGAATACTTTTCCAAAAAAAAGCAAGTCAGATCTCATCAGTTTAAACTTTCAAACAAACTTTCATTTTTCAAGAAAAAAACACTCCAAAGTTCGAATTGAAATCTTTTCTCACTTGACGTAAACCTTGAGAAGAAGAAGGAGGAACAGAGGAATGAATTAAATCTTGATCAAGATTATAAAGACCATAGAGATGAATAGGTAAATTATAAGTAGGTGAAACGGATGTCGAAGCTAAGATCGAAAGTCCAACTTGAACGAATAAGACTTGTTGTAGCTTGTTTTGATCGGATGCGGATGGAAATCATGTGAAGGAAGTGTTGAGGTTATCAATGCTTTCTTTTTTGATTTGAGAGTGTGAATGTGTTACTTACGTTGAAGAATTGATTGGGTATTTCCATCTTTTCCTTTTCTTTTTCTTTTCTTTCCTTTTCTTTTCTTTGATTTGAACTTGATTTGATTTGATGGGCTGGTCTGCTGGGATTCTGTTTGATAATAAATTCGATCAGCTAAGCTTCTCAACACATAACCCAGTCAGAAAGTCACTTAAACCAAGTCAAAAACTCAAAACACTTCAACATACCTTATCTTCTTTCTCTCTCTCTCTCTCTCTCTCTCTTTCTCTTCACACTCATCTTCATCAAACTTCAATCAAACCAACTCATATCAAACTAACCCAAATTGATTTCAATCAACCTTGATACATACAAAAACTAAAGATTAAATCTTTTTAAGAAGAAAAGCAAAAATAATAATAATTTAAAAAAATCTTCATCACATACAAATCCTAATTGAAACTTACACAAACCAAAAAAAAAATGATCAAGAGAGAGAAAGAGAAAATGGATGATGGAATGTTTGATCAATAAGGAAATTTTGTTGTTCTAAAACTATACGTCTAGCGTTTGCTTTTTTGTTTCCCACGATCATTGAAGAAACAATGAATTAAACCTTCAAGCTTTATAATTCATAAAATTTGACTGATTTGAGAAATGATAAAAAAAATTAAGAAATGGAAACAGAGAGAACTTGATGGTCTTGTTTGCTTTTTTTTCGGAGAAAGTAAGATATAAATGATCTCATTCATGTTCAAATGATTTACCAATCTATTTCGGATTCAAAGGATCCAATCTCAAATCGGTCCTTGTCAAAGTTCTTCTAATCCTTCATTCAGATTGTCCTAGATCTCAGATTCGATCAAAGCTCAATTTGATTCTTCAATTCGAGGATCAAGTGAAGTGATCTGATTGGTTGGATCATTGGAGGATTGAGTACTAGGTGACTCTTTCTCAATCGCTGCTTGATCTAATCTCATCCTAGGTTGTCGATCTAATTCGGATTTCTTTTTATACACTTTGATCGGAGCTCGAAGTCTTCGACGAGCGACCATGACCTGTTTGAAAAGAAGGAAAGATCAAAATCAAGAATCCATTCAAGTTAGAAGATTGAAAAAGTCAATTCCGATCATCACTTGAAAAAGAAAAAAGAAGGGGTCAGAGGTGTGGATAAGGAAAAGACACTCAACTGGAACAGATGATTTCTGTACAAGATAATGTGAGACACTACCCATCAAAACACCTTTCAGAGAGCTCAACCCACGACTTCCAACAATCACCAGATTAGGCTTAATGAAATCAATACAATCAATCAACATATGTTTCGAATTCTTCGCATGAACTGCTTGACAGGTCACTTTGACATTCAACTTGGTCCGTTCGAGTAAGGCAGTAGCTAAGGGAAAAAACCAAACCAAACCGAATTCATGAGATGAAAGGAGATGAAGTAGATGGATGGAGACTTACCCTCTCGTACTATTTGAGTCGCTTTTTCTTGTCGATCTTTCTGATTACGGATCTTAGCCATTCGATCAGCCGCTGTACCTGCATCTTCAGGATCGACTGGATCATCCATCAAACGCTTGGTCAGTCTTAACATTCAACTTAGATGATCAGTTAAACCCCTCACATTTGGTTTCTGTCTCAATGACATTGATGATCAAACACTAGGAAAGGACGATCACATGATTCAGAAACCCATCCATTTCGAATCAATCATTCAACACTTCACCACTCACCTCATCACCTTGTCTCAGCACTGTTCCAATCGTCCATTCGATCGCATATTTAGACTCTTCACTCAAATCACAGGCCACAAGATAAAACCTAGTTCGTTCAGATCCAGCTGCAGCTTCCGTTTGATTGCCATGTTCGATGGTGATCGTACATCGATTCTTCTCATAAATCGGACGTGAAAGGGTGAGTTGAAGTGGAGCGGTGAGTTGAAGATGAGTTGATTTCTTACGTCTCATCGTAGACGATTTCGATAAGAGAGATGGTTTACGTGATTCGAGTTTCGAACGCGTACCCGCAAGGTGTTCTTGACGACGACGATCAGAAGAAGCGAATGGGATCGGAGCAGGAGGTGGGATGGTCAGATTAGGAGCTTGATCGATGAAGGGGATAGGTTGATTAGATCTTTGAAGGTAATCAGTTGGAGTCATCGAAGAAGCATTTGCAGTGGTGTTGGCTAAGATCGTTTGTAGATCTGATGAATCTTCCAAGGTATCCTCATCCTCCTCCTCCTCATCATCATCATCCTGTTCACTTGATTCATTCGATTGACCTGACCCGATTGTCTCCTCATCCGAATCCGAATCTTGATTGAACGCATTCTCCGGTACTACATCTGCCATACTCTCTCCATCTGACTCATAGGAATGAACTCGTTCAGAACTTGAGGACTTGAATCGTAAGAAAGCAGGACCGGGACTGGGAGATCGAGAAGCAGAAGGTAGACGATGATGACCTGGAGTGAAGATTGATAAGATACTACGACGACCTAAGTTTTGAGTACTACTGCTCCGTCCACGTCTAGAAGAATCATTGGGTTGACTCGAATCCGATCGTAAATCGTTCACACTCCTTCTACGAGGGTTATGATGAGAAGTGAGGGGTGAAGGATCATCATCGGCTAGACTGGTCCTTCTCGAACGTCTTCCTAGACTAGAACGTCTTCCAAGACTGAAGCTTGATGATTTGATTTTGTTTTGAGTTTGATTTGATTGATCAAGAAGATCACTTGAAGAAGTTGAAGTTGAAGTTGAAGTAGATTGAGATTGAGATTGAGATTGAGAATCAGGAGGTAATAAGTTTGAATTAGATTGAGATTGAGAAGAAGGGTTTGATGATGAGGTTTGAGGTTCGTCTGATTGATGATGGTTCTCGTGATCTTTTGACCAATTGAAAGTAGTAAAACTGAAGGATGGAACTCGTTTATGAAAGATGGCTTTCATGATTGAGAGGTTGAGAATGAATGAATTGAATTGATGAACTTAGTCAAGTGAGAAAGTAAGTAAAGTGGTGGGAATGATCGATCGATTGAATTACTTCTTCAAGCTTTTGGTGAGGGTGAATTGGGAATTGTACATACAGTGAATCCGGAGAAAAGCTTGACCAATCAACCGATTTCCGTTCACAGCTCGTGAAAGGCTCACTCGCTGCTGACACAAGTCGTGACATTACACCAGGCCAATCCACGCTCTCAGCACTGAGAATATTGAAATTCACCCAAAAAAGCATCAGCTTCATAAAACTGTTTTCTAACTCCATTTCATCCAACTTCA